TCTCAATCACTAATAGTTTCACCATTACTGAATAGATTGTAATTTATCACAAAATTAATTAATGAAGTTACATTCGGCATTAGCATAGCTTAGTATAGTGATTTCTCAGTAATTATAGAACACAAGAAGAACTACGAAAAGTCATTTCAAGTAAAATTAATTGAACTTTTTTTAAATTGCCAACTTGCTTGGCTTTGGTTGCCCAAAGTTTTATAAATAAGTTTGATATCATGTTTTTAAAAATGGCCAAGTTGCTTATTCTTTTGAAACTGATCGATTGTTTACTACGTATTTTTATTTATGACAATTGTTTATCAGCTGTTGATAAGATTAGTGGTATGTTTTTAGTGTTCATAAACTATTGATAAGATAAACAATGAGTTTTGAGTAGAGAAGCTGAGAGTATTTGCTTTTTTATAATTGAGATTAACATTTTATGAGACTAATTTAAAAAATATATTTGGAATCATTTTTGATATTTCTTAAAAAAAGAGGTTATGGTATACAATGATAAATTTATCTCTTATCGTTCCCATTCATTGTTTCATAAGCAATTGAAATTGACCAGTTGTTTTATTATTTGCTCTCTCTGAAGCAAATCATCCAGTGATTTTCGAATTAATTAAAATGGTATAATAATTGAAAATTATTATTTTAATTATAATAATTGAAAAGAAAAGAGAAAAATGAATGAGCTATTTTATACAATACTATTAAACCATTTTTAATTCATTATAATTAATTTTTTTTTTTTTTTTTTTTTGTAGAATTCTAGTTTATCCACAGGTGGAAGCTATCTTTTGGTAGCTAAAAATGTTCGATATGAAAAATGCTTATGTTGTCGCATCATTGTATGAATATTTTTCATTTTAATAGAAAAAAAGGAAACAACGGATATGAAAGAGCTAAAAAATCATCCATAAGAATAAAAAAAAAAATAAATGAGTAAAAATTATGTGTCGAATGTTACGCTAAAACTAAAGCGAAGATTTTTTACTATATTTGAATTAAAATATTTTTTTCATAAAGATTTTAAAATCATTTCATTTTAATAATTGTTGTTATTATGAAATATTTGTTGATCAAAAAATAAATGAAATGAATTTTCAAAAATGCATTCACGTCTAAAAAATCAATCCTTTCTACTTTTTCTCTTCTATTTAAATGAAAATATTTTACATAGTAAAGTTATGTCAAATTTTCTTTTTAATATATAGAAAGAAAAATAAAAAATGAAAAACTTAAGGAGAGTACGAGCAAATTTTTTTTATTGCTAAAACTTAAATTAGTGATAAGCGTTCCAGTAATATTTTTTTCTTAATGATAATTTCACCTCATTAAGATTTTAATTACTAATTTGTTTGTTTTTTTTTTTGAGACAGCAATGTATGCGATACAATCTTTATGCATTTTGGCACTTTCAATAATGATTATTGCAACATATACCATTTATGGCTTTACAATTAATGTCTTATCAAATTTGATATATATTATTATTTTGCTTGTGGTGGAAATTTTAGCAATTGTTGCAATGATAAAACAGCGGGTATTTCTCATAATACCATTTATAATTCTAATTGTAAGCTTTAATTTATTAAAATTCAACTTAAAATTATTAAAATAGTTTGAAATTGAAGTTAAACAAAAAAGGAATATTTGATGATATAAAAAATGATTTTTCATTAATCTGATATTTAATATATTTCGTATCTAATCTAACTAATATATATAATATTCAATACATATTAAAATATTTAATGCATGACAAATTTTTGGTTTATATCAAAAAGTGAAACTTATTTATTAATTAAATTTTATTAATTTAATATTTAATACAGGTCAAAACGTAAAATTTATCCATTAATTAACTTTTGTCAACCTAATATTTAATGTATTAGGTTAACAAAAGCTTTAATATATCAAACCGTTTTGGTATATCAAAATGATATATCAAATTCTATTTTGATATATCAATCTAATTGATATATCAAATTTAAAAAAAAAAAAAACTAAAAAAAACTAATTTCACTCGTTTATTAAATAACTTTTATAAATCTAATAATGTGAAACTAATTGACCAATGAAAGAAAAATTTTTATTTCATAAAATTAAAAATTAAAATTAATTTTATTCTAATTTTTATCACCTCAAATATAGTAAAATTTCTTGATCACTTTTTGTTAACAACATGTCAATCATACATTTATTACAAAATTGCACAAAATGTAATTTGTGATGACGAATGAATTTGATGTTTGAAAATGTTGGTAGTACTAGATGATATACGTGAAATGTTTACTTCAGTGACAATCGAATGTGTTAAAAGGAATGCATAACTTCATAAAATATTCTCATAATCCATCTAAAACGAAAAATGAAAAAGAAATCATTTTTAATGAAATAGCATAATAATTTAATTATATTTCGTAATTCAATCAAAAATTTAAAAAGAAAGAAATTGCTTTATAATAACATAGCAAAATAGTTAAATTATCTATGATAATTGATTTTGATCAAAAAAGATGAATTAATTTGACATGCTCATTTTTTTGCATTCAGTTCTAAAAAGCACTTTTTACACTTATAGTTTACATTTATAAATAATTTATAGCAGTAAAATAATTCATTTCACATGTATTAGCATAGAAAATAAATGAAAAACGATGAATCTATTTGAAAAAAAGTTACATAATATGAAATTATTTTCATATTTAGATATTTATTATCGGATTATCAATTCTTCTCTTTCTATTTCGTCTTTACATATGGCTTCGTTATGGTGGCGTAAGTAAGCATTATTCATTTTTTTTTTTTTGATAAATATTCATTTAATGAAGCAATCATGAATATATAAATTTTTTTTCTAGATTTAAATGCTTTCTTAAATTTTAAAAATAGTTATTGTGGTAATGTGGTTTTTCTGTAGCTAACAAAAAATTTCGTTTTTTTTTTGTTTTTCATTTTTTCATTTATGTTAAAAAATTACTATAAAATTACAGTCACTGATTTATGTTTAACTATATTATCAAATACTCTAACTACGGTTGCTTATATATTTGTGCTGGTTGTTTCAATACGATGGCGAAAATATATGATTGATTTAAAGAAAGTAAAATTCGGATGAATAATTTGCGATTAATACAAAAAATTTTAAATTTGCTTTATATTTGAGGATTTGGTTTTAATTTCTCTCTCGTCTCCTTTCATTCAATTCTTTTTCGCAGAATAGTAAATTAAAATACCAATAATTTGCTATAAAATAAATGAAATTAATGAAGAGATTTAATTGATTATTATAGCTTTAAAGATCAAAAAATTAATGTTCAAATGTTCTTTCATCAATTGTATTAATTGACAACAGCAATCAAATTTTGTTTAATGTTCCAAAACCTCAAATAGATAATGTGTTTACATATTTTGTAATATATCGTTTTTGAATGCATGTAACATTCTTTTTCACAAAATAATTTATCAAAATTTCTTTTATTTTTCTAACTTTTTTTTTGTTAATTTAGCAGATTTGTATATAAAAAATAAAAAAATATGATACAAATAATCCAATAAATAGGTTATAGTAAGTATTAATAAATAATAATTATTTTTATAATAATCATTTTATTCTGAATAATAATTCTAAAATTGTGCATTTTAAGAAAGATTATTTAAATGAAATGCGATTCATTTATAAAATTAAAAATTTTGGACTTAGTTGACTTTTTTATTTTCATTGCACTTAATCTGCTCACATCATTTTTGAATATTTGACCATTTAAACAAAAAATAAAGTCTAAAAAATACACTTTGGGGCAAAATTTGTAATCATTACTGATTTCAAGAAGTTTAGAAAATTTCGAAGAGTTTTTGCAAATTCAGTATTTAAATAAATTTTAATTCGTTTAATTACATTTTGATCAAGTGCTAAAAACATTAGAAAAGTTGTGATTCATATATAAATTTAAAAATTTTGAACCTAGATATTTTATTTTGATGCAATTGATCTGCTCACATTACTTTTGTGAAATTTCGACAATTTCTAAGAGTTTTTGTGAAATACATTATGAAGAAACATTAATTATGTTTTTTTAGTTTTTGCTAAATTTTGGTTAGGCTTAGGCTTTGTTTCAAATTTAAAAATTTTTGTGAAAATGCTTTTTGTAAGACTAGGAATTAAACTGTAGTATTATCAAATTTCATCTTAATTAATTGATGAACTTCGATAAGCTAGATAATACTAGGGAATGTCACTATATGTCAGTCTTTCGAGAGCGTAACTGCAACGAATGGTACTGCATGCTGCATGCCGACATACTTTAATGGTATTAAAACCAATGATGAGATGAAAATTGTTGTTAGAAGTAGTATCGACTGAGGTCAGGTGGAATCTACAATTTTGTATATCTACAATTCTGGCAAAATACGGCAGTGTCCATAAATATTTTGTTCGCAAATGATATAATTTATTTGTTCTCTAAATTATAAAACTAGAAATTGATCTCATCGTTTCAAAAAGGAATCAACAAAAAAAATTAAACTCTAAATGTTGTAAAATCTACTAGTTCAAGGTGACAAAAATCTTCACCAAAATTTCTCTGAGCATCATGAAATCTCGCAATTAAATGAGATAATCAAATTAAAATTATTGAAATATTGATTTAAAAATTTTTTATCACAAATCCAGCAATGAATTAAAAAAGTTTTGTAAGTCGCTATTACATAATTGAGTTTTTATATCAATTTTATCTTCAGTACCTTGCAAACTCTTAATGTGAAAAAGAATTTCATAATTATGTGAAATAATGCATAAATATTAAAAAAAGTAAGGAAATAATCGGTAAATTTTTGAATCAAATAATCCAATAAAATATTAGTAGCAATATTGCCAATAGAACAATACTCATATAAGCAGTAAACAGGCTAATATAATTCAGTAGTTAGTTAATTGATGTTAAATTTAAAAGCTAAAATTTTTACAATATGCTAATAATTCATTTGGATCTATGATGCCAATTAATCAAAAACATGAAATAATGTGGATTCATAGTAATATAGCGGCTGGTTCACAGCGACAAATTGATTTACTGTTTGAAACGAATGATATCGTTGAAATACTTATTGGCACATTCTATAACGATGATCATCGCATTCGCAAGGTTTTTTTAAATCGTTTCAAATTGTAATTTCATAAAAGTTCATTACTAATTTGCAGCATATTTTAGGAAATAGATTGGACAGTTATAAATGCGTTAACTGGTGCCAGTGAAAATCGATCACGCTGGCTATGTGCAAGCAACGTGCTTAGTATAGTACCACACGTGCTCAATATGCATGCTGAGCATGACTTGATAGAACGAACACTAGATGCTATTGAATTGTTGATCGAAAAGCAAATCAATTATTTTTTTATACTTGAAAATTATCAGATTATGGAAGCGTTACGTTAAATTGCTCAAAATCAAAATAATTGCTATGATATACATGTTAAGATTGGTTATATTGGCTATCATTAATTTTAGATGAATAATACTCGAAGATCGTTATGTAGTTTTGTTCCACCCACTAAGCAGAGATTAACGGAATCTTCTAAAGTAAAGTACCAATGTATTAATCTATTAATAGCTCGATGAGCTTAAAAAAATTGTAAACCTATTAAATAAAAGAGCAGTATTTTGCCACTGTTCTTGCTCATTCATTTTTATTGAGTCTACATTGTTCAAAATCTGTGCTTTGGTGAGAGAGAAATGAGCTTAAATGAAATAAAGAATAATTGAGATGCGAAGCTATTTCTTAAGAATGGAAATACGAAAAAACTTGCCGTATCCTGGTAATATTACCGAAACCCTCTTAAAACAGTAGTCCGATTTAAGGGAAAGCATACATTAATCTCTAAAAGAAATAATCTCTATTCTCTTTCTCAACATACAATTAGTTCATAATGAAGAAATATATAACACGCTAATGCATTCTCATTCTCCAGAAATATATGTGATAAGTAAGGAATATACAGATTGTATTTTCATCTGAAATGAATAAGATATAGAAGATTAAAAAGAGGCTTTCAACTTCCAAAATCGTAAAAATGAAAACTGAAATCATTTTTCTTTTCAGCACATAGCAATTATCTTAAATTGAGTGACTCCTAGTTCAGACTAAGAAAGTAAGCATGTTTCACCTAAGGTTTCTATGGAACGACTACCACCAACACTTTAACCTCTAACATTATAATTACAATAACCAATAAGTGACACAATGCCAGAAATGTATGGAAAAAAACAAAAAACAAAAATCCCGAAACAATACAAGATGGGCGAACACAATATAATAAATAGTAACAATACCTAACATCATTTAACGCACTTTATTAGAAAGGCATTATTTAGGCCATAAGAATTTTATTTTTTTATAATAACAGCATGTTCACCCTCCGCATAGATATATATTTTATTTTTATTGTTTTGTTTTAAAAGTTTCTAAAATCAAATCAAATTTACTCTTTAAAATAAAGCAGTATTTTCCTACACATTTGTCATTTTAAATGGTCATTATGAAACAAATTTAATTGTGAAATCACCGAGCGCATAGTACGAGTGAATATGAGCTATTAAAAGAATTTAAATAAAGTTCTGGTCATAATGGCAAGATCCCGCCTACCTTGATACTTGTTATTCTCTAAAGTAGCTTCCACATAAAGGTGATAGTTTATGAAATACCTCAAACAATTTTTCATTTGAAGCAGAAGTAGAAACTGATTAACAACATAAAAAAGTGTAAAAATTGCTTTTTATGACATAGAGCAAATGTTATCGAAATCGAATATAAGCATAACTGTAATCTTTATTAATCTATTCTCTCTTCTCTGTTCTCAAACTCAGATATACTGAGATCATAATCTCATTTTGAACAGTATAATCCATTTACCAGATGGGAAGAGTTCTATTAATACGTGATCAGTGTTATACGACCAAACAGCCAATTCAACCATATGAAATAAACTGAAATGTCTTAAAAATCATGAAACAGTCATAACAACAACGCGCTAACGCCAGACCCATCCGATTCAGACACTCTCAAATCGTGGGAACCTCTCACTCCCTTTTGTTAGTACGAATTTTACTTCTGCAACGCGCTGTCAACACCTATGTGAGGTAAGTTTCAGAAGGCAAGTTGAGGAAGGCTCAGGAAGATAGGGTGGTCGTTAGCCACAAGTATTTGGATTGCCACACTTGTATCGGAATCCGTGATATGCAATGACCCTTTAATGATAACTCATTGGTCAGTCGATAAGAGCTAGTATCTATTTCTATTAATACTTCGTTACCACATTTTTGCATATTACAATAGAGCATGAGAGTACATTCTTTTATTTATTATTATCTCTTTGGGATTACTGCTTCAAATTCTTCGGCATATTCTTTTCAACATCTGATTTCTTCCTACTTCTGCTTTTTGACTTTCCTTTTGATCCTTTAGGGATCGGATTTTTAACCCTCTCAGCAGTCTAAAAAAGCATTCTATAACTATCATAATCTCCAGTAGTACATCATATATAAATGTAACCTTACTCCTTTCTTATAATGTTTATGAATGTACTGATTTAGTTTATGAAAATAACAATTCACTCTAATAACCGCAAAGTTACCATCGGTATCGGCGACAGTTGTAATTTTTTGACTTCTAACTCCTTGATTGCTTCATAAGTTTTTTCAGCGAGAAAGTGGTAGTCTGGTGGTTTCTGGGGATTTGCTCAAATTAGCTTTTATTGTTGCAGTAGAGATAACTTATAAATAAAACAGTGGAATATTATTTTATATTTTGCTGTTTTTTTTTTCTGATACATAAAATCATTCATCATTTAATTCAGTTTAATTTTATCAAGCTTGTGTATGTGCAAATAACAACCTGTTTGAAGGTATGCGTTAATTGCATAGAATTGGTCTGGTAGTGTTTTCAGGAGATAACGAGCAGGACAGTACATTGATTTCAAATATTTATGTGCCTAAAAGAACACTAAATAAATATACATTATTACAACTTCATGCAGAAACAAGAACTTGAAACAAAAGGAAGAAAAAACATTAACTTTGAGCTTATTTCGTCCATCAAAATTTGCATTCAAATTGATGAACTTTTTTATGAATGTAAATTTGTGTTAAATGCTTATAATTTTCTTGTCACTTCTATTCCGTCATTTTTTTTTTTTTTTTTTTTTGGATTCAATGTGAATATATTTTAGGATTGATGGAGCAGGAATATTCGCACCCGTGTATTATTTCTGTACGTCCATGGCAGTGGTTGAATGGGTTCACGTTCATTTGCAAACAGTTCACACGTGACATAAAGCCAGGCTATGAGATCATCAAAACGTGTCTGTTCACGTCCTTTTTGTGCATGCCCACTTGCCCATTCGGGTGTTCCACGAAACGGACAACACGTCCGTGGTGGTCGTATCTCCAAAAAAAAAAAAGAAAACGTCTAAGAATTGATTTGAGAATGAGCTTAAACTTAGTTTATTGACTGTATTGTGGTTGAAACAACATTCATGAAAGCTAACTTCGAGATATTACGCAGGAATAGCTACTGTTGATCTAATTTCATTCGACTATTTCAGGCCCATTAGCCATGAGACCAACATTTCTTGTAACTAAGTTGATAAAACTCATCATGTATACTTCTTCAGAATGGTTCGAAATAGTCCATTGCATTTATTTTTAATCACTGTTAGTCAAGAGTTATGTTGTATTGATAAAAACGCAAAGTTACATCACTTTCTCCATCGGTGTACATCCGCGCCATACCGAGATCAAAGAGCAATGCAATCGGTTGTTCTCTTGAACACAAACCCATATTATCTGGTTTCAAGTCGCGGTGTAGAAGTCCTGAACATGTTTAAGTTTTCGATATATTTAAAAACTGACCGGAAATTTGAAGTTATTTTGGTTGTTCTAAACTTTCTTACGCTTCACTATTAAAATGATGAAGTACGTTGAAAATGATCTTATTAATATCTTTTTCAGTTGATAATGAGGTACAGTAGTATCGGTGATACGTCTGGCTATACTTTTTCCAAACTGACAGCGGCAGAAAACATTTCTACAATCGCTTCTTTTACACTCATAACTTTTGATGAGTGTAAAATTTTGATGTAATATTATACAAGAATACATCTAAAGAATTGTAATATCAAAAATCTGCAGCATTTTCTGAGCACCTTGTGCATGAAGATCATAAATTCCTTTGAGCATTTGCAATGATATATTTGCCGCACGATATTTTCTATGCGCTCCTTCTACCTATGCAATTATCAAATTTTATTCTTTTGAAATTATTTTGTCTACAGTACAGAAAAAAGCACGCTCAATTAATAAATGACTTGTCTATAATGATTTCACCATCTAATTACCTCGTAGATGTAATCTTTGACTGGCACCGCTGCTTTTTCCAGCACTACAAATTCCATACCTTCACCGTGTTGGTCCGCAAGCATACCCTTGTCTAGCAATCGGACGATTGATGCAGTTTCGGACTAAATTTCTTTCATTTACTATTTTTAAGCGAAAAGTTATGGATTTCTTTACTTTCTCGCAATTTCGAGAATATGGAAAGTTACATTGACTACATAAGCTTCAAATTAGTGTATTAAACGGTGTACTTTTTTTCCAGCCGTCCTTCTTATTTTTTTAGATTTAAAATGGTTTACGTAGATTCTTAATTATATTTTCTCTATGTTTTTAATGTGAAAAAAAAAGATTGATGGTACTCACGGACTAATTTTATTATTATCAAAATGTTCGATCCGTCCTTCTGTTTTGAAATTCATTTTTGCCTTATACTGTATTTTCAACACATCAAATGCAGAAAACAAGAATCATTATTCTCATATTAAGTATTAAGCTGTACTCTTTTAAACATCGTTTCTAAAATAAATCCTTCCCACTCAGCTGAAACATTGCCAGCTTCGTTGGCCATCGATTTAGCCACTTTAATGACACCGTATACTTTTGTGACAACATCACGAACAGAAAATACCACACCATATGTACCTTGATTGATTGTCTCAATTACCTGGACATGATCTTATGACTAATTTTTCCAAATTCATTACATAATTTGCAAAACCACAACGTTTTAAAATTTTTCTCTTTGTTATCTATCCAAATGGTTAGAGTCCACAAAATACTTACTTGCCAACGTTTGTTGAATGGTGCAATGGACTTCAAATGCTCAACTAGTTCTTGCACTGCTTGATCTTGCTTTTCCTGATCTCTTTGACGATCACTCCCCGCCACTTCTACATGTTTTCCGGATGCCTTTTGACTATGTGCGACGCGGCGATTGCTTGGTCGGTTTGCAGAGACACATGAAAGCTAAAAAATGGATTTCAAAAAAAAATCTGTAAATAAATTCTCTACTACCTAAGTGATCAAAAGCTGTCACTGAATTTGTAACAGAAAAATTACTTGTCTGGTGGCAGCAGTTTTTTGGGCGCTGAAAACCATTCGCTGATTTCGTTTAACTGATGTTTGCTGATCCTTTACCGATTTCTTTAGTTTTGTTTTTCCTCTGCTGGAAATGATAGATGGGATACAAGAAAGATCATTAGATTGAGCGATTATTTAATATTTAATTGTTAAATTGTTATTTATTTGATATTATTTAATTTTTAAATTATTCTCTATAAGATTCATATGTTGTGCAGAATCTTTTGAATTTGCTTGCTCCCTATTTCAGCGTTTAACATACTCACATTACCTTTTCTTCTCTTTGAGGTATGAAAAAGTACTCCGAAACTACGAGCAGGATGAAAATGTCTCTTGAAAACCAAATATATACCAATTAAATTAAAACCAGTTAGGGAAGTTGTATCAATAATTTATTTATCTTCTAAGAAGTCTCAGAACACCTGTGGCTTTTCTTGCTTGACAAATTCAACATTCATTGTGTAGTTATTTGATTACCTATGGTACATACTTTTGGAAAAAAGGCATGACTGCAATACTCGTTAGTTCTTTAATTGATAAAAATGAGTCAGTTCAGATACATTCAATTATTTATAATGCTAAGGAAATCTTTATCTTTTATGAATTTATGAATGCACGTAAAAATTTGTTGCTTATGCAAATTATGGTAATATAAGTTGGAAGTCCAGTTTTGCATTACTTTAGGATTTAATAACCTGAAAGATGAACATTATAAGAAATTGAATTTAACTTCTAGGAAATAAGGAGATAATTTCATTAGGAGAACAGCTAAAAGATCATAATTTTTGATATTGCTTTGAAGTTTGATAGACACGAAGAAAAGTCCTAGGTAGAAATTTGAATTTTCTAATAAAGTTTCATTTAGACTATCACTATTAATTGATCAAAAAGACAAACAAATAATCAAACATTTATGCCAGTTCGAAAAGAGTGAATGACATCAACCGGTCATCTTTCTGTTTCCTTTTCAATATTCCATTTAGCACTATATTGTGGCGATGTGCTAGCAAAAGTAAATTATTTCCAATCATTTCGTATCGCACCATAATAAAGTAGTAGTTAAAACAAAATAATTCCTTGAAGAATTAATAACAATATTTACAAAGTATACTGTAGCTGAGAATCAAATAAAATTTATGCGACAAATTAACAAAGCAAATATGTAATTAGGTATAGACAATTAGGGATATAGCAAATATGTAATTAGGTATAGTCAATCAGCAATTATTAAGTTACATCTTAATATAAATTTCAATAATAGCAGCATGTGAAAGATCCGCAATGTTTATGGACTCCCTGGTCATCATGTACAGTAACATGCGTGAGTAGAGGGTCAAGTTCAGTCTATTCCCAACAATGGCAACGATTTATTTGCAACAATGTGGATAAGTCGAACAATAATTTTTCCACTTCCATAGCAAAATTTCGTTCCTGTTCCTATATGGTATAATATTCTTTATAATCTCTGTGTGTCAAAATTCAAACCACAAGTAATTCCTAAAAGGAATCCTGACGTCTAGTATCCGGAATTCTGATGTCATATATAAAAACGTGCTCCTTTCAGATCGAAAAACAATCAAAACAGAACTACGTAGACTTGTCTTGTGGAATTGGAATTAGTATCATTTTTCATTATGCATTGTGTTTGCAGATACCTTTGTGTCTATCAGATGAAGGTTTCTCAGTATCATTCCAGAATTATTTCTTTTTGGCAATATTTTTAGCTTGTATATTGCTAACATTTTTGCCAAACATGATTCTGGGTCTACATTACACGCAAGTCTGGTTTTGGAAAAGTCGAAAATCTGAACAGAAAAGTGAGTAGTCTGATCATCTTTTAAAAAAGTGCCTGCTAATAATTTCTTGTCGAATCGAACTTGAAGTTCTTTAAAATTTCTAATAAAAAATGAAGAGATAAAAGAATCAGCGCCAGTTGTATTATCGGATAGATTTCATTCATTAGCAATATATTAAGTTGAAATGAGAATGCCGTCTTTCCAATCAAGATGTTTTCTTTCTGTAAAACTTTTGAATCGATCTAGCTATGAAGTATTTGCAGTATACTAAACCAAAAATAGTGACTAGCAAACATTTCTGAATTTTAAACCATTTGAAACGGTATAAATGTTTTATCTCCTAAGGGGTTAATGTTGCATTGTTTGACCTGGAACTATTTTTTTCGTTAGCACGTTCAACGAATATATGGAAAAGAGAAAAAAAAATTACTTAGACAAATTAAAACAACGAACAATAAAAAAAGTTGGAAAGAAAAGCATATTTAAGTCATTTTTCTAAAGCACTATATGGATGTGGAAGTTCTAAAATAGGACATAATGATAATTAAAAATAAGCAAGTTGGTAACTCAACTATTAGTTTGCATACAACCTGGATAAGGCCAATTAAGATCAAGATTAAATTGTGGTCAAAAAGAATTTGAATAAGCCATTAACTTCAGTGATTGTATTTTTGTATTTCAGACCATGTAAGGAGTAGCAGTGCACAAAAATCTACATTTGACTAATTACAAGAATGATCAAAAATCTATTTCTTGTTAAAAATTCCCTATAAATAGTAAATCGAGTGATAATTTGACAATATCGACGAAATATGATTCTCATGTAAATTTAAATTTAAAGCTGTATTTGCAGCAGTAGATTAAAAAGCTTATTGCATTTGTAAGAACTTTAATTTTTTAAGTTAAGTTTTTGACAGCAGAAATAAAAAATAATGAAGCATTTGCAGCAGAATTACGATATTATAAAACGACACATTAATGGAGGAAAATTAGAAATGGAATGAGGATTTTAGGCACAGCAATAGCAATACAAAAGTTGCTACAAACACAAACTTTCGTAAAAAGATTATTCGCTTTCTAATTTTTAGCATTTCTCTTTTGTCCATGATCAAATTTTTTCCACTTAAACTTCCAGAATAAGCAGATTTTTCTAAATAAAACTTTAGTGGAAACCCAAAATCACATATGAACTAGAAAAAAGCCCCAAATGATGAGAGGGAATTAACATTTGACATATCTTATCATAATATATATCGTCAATTACAAAGATAATTCAATAAATAATATCACATCATTTCTACATACAAGACGAGCACAATATAAGCTTCTCCTGGAAAAATTATGGAATTGTTTGAGGAAATATTTTTAGTGAAGATTCTGTTTTTCCTGTATTTTTGAAAACTGAATATTTAATAAAACGCAAAAACATCACTGGGAGAAAATCATGAAATAAAGTTATCATGTTCTATTTGTAATTTATCGCAATTTTAAATCCGTAAAATGGCGAAAAAGAAAGAATAGGTAAAAACCATATGAATATTGTAAAAATTAAAAATAAGTCCATATCAAACTGTTTTATAAATGGCATTCAGATCAATGATACCTTGATTATTTTCATAAACTTCAAAAAATCAAAAGCTTCCAATTTGATGAGGTGGGGTGCAAAGTAAAGGGACTAAAGAACGCGGATAGGGCGAAAAACGTTTTCTCTTAAAATGGAAATGAGATCAAGAAAAATACAATATATGAAAATTTCAAATTTAATAACTACAGTGACTAAGGAATTAGGAAGTAATAAAAATAGACAAGAAAAACACATGAAACTAATTTTTCACAATACTGAAGTTTCACTATTGCTGATATATTAGCAGCGTTCTTCCGAAATAATAATAGTAGTACCATGGTCTTGCTTCTTTTACTTGTATAATTTATTAAATTTTCTAAAATTAATCTTCAATAGAATGTACTTACTTAAGGTTTTGCAGTAGTCATGATCATGCTCTTACATGACTTACTTGCATGACGTCTACAAAGATTTTAAGGATTCCATCATATTTACGTTTAAGTCCGCATATTATGTTTAAATTCATGTTAACTTTATTTCATTGTTGACCATCCCATCATATGGCTATCTTTAAGATAGCTGAAATATCAAGAATAAAGAAACTGAGACATGTTAACTCAGAAGCAACAAGTAAAAAAGACCTTATAGAAAGAGTTGGGCGATTTCCATAAGATTAAAAATCAATCTATCAAAATTTTCATGGAAATGTTTCGAAAATAGCAAAAATCACAATGCTATTTGAAGTGCATTCGGCATAAGAAAATCATACAACTTGGCCTGTTTGTTTGACGTTATTTCTATTATATTTTTGGATAGACTGTAGATAGCAATATACTAGAGCATTTATCTTATTCGCTAAGCAAAGTTCTAGACTGTTTCAGCTTTTTCAAGTTGATTGGAGCGGAAACGTCTCAAATCATCATCTTTAAATTCAGATCACCAGTCTGTATACGTTTACACTTTTTTAGCCGATTTTTGAACCAGATTTTAACATTGTGCGTTGAAATTGGTGGATAACTTTGTCTATATTGACAGTTGTTCAACGCTTCAGTATAATGATCAATCTAAAGTTGTAAAAAGTTTATGCTGTCTAAGAATAATATTTATTGGCAAAATTATACTGAATTACAGAATGATCTCGACGCAGAAAATGTCGAGCATTCTTATATTTTTGAGATCACTGTTCAAGCTGAATTGCTAAATATTTTATATTCATTTTCAATCAATCATCTCTTCTTCAGAGAAAAATGCAATGCGTTTCGAGTGATTTCGTAACTTAAAAATATGCGAAAGTAAGTGAAAAGACTACCCTTTTTCTAAACAATATGAAAACAATCACACACTAAAGTAATCTAATTTTGCTGAGAGTTAGAGAAAAACAAATGTTCGAGGATATGACTTGCGATCTATGCCGATATTCTTAAACTCGAATGTATATCTAGAGTTTCCACAAATACTAATAACAAATCTAGCGTAAAGATTTGTAGCAAAGTATGATGTGGATTTTCTTCAAACCATTTCTCTAGGACTGGTAACTCCGTGAGTGGATCGAACATTAATCTTGATCGAGCGACTGTATTTGAGGGTGTCTGTATTTGCTGTGGTCTTGATATCCAACAGTGTCTCCACCGGCTGGTTTCGGCGATATTGACGCATGACCACTATTTAAATCGAAAGATATTTCCGGAGATGAACTTGCAGAATCCTACAAAAAATTAAGAAGTATAGAAATATTGTTCTCTAAATATCCAATGGTACATAATGCTTAAAAAGGACTAAAAGTATTATTCAACATGATAGGCTAATAAAAGATTGAAATATTCTCTATGAAAAACTGCATGAATACCTGTTTCAATACAGAAACCTGATCAAAACCACAATCGCTGGCGCTGTGCACACTAACATCATCATTCGGTGTCGGCGATTCTGAGCCTCCTTCGATATGCTAAAAAGTTTTATTTGCTTCAAAATATCATAATAGTTGCTCACATAGCGCAAGAGTTATACAAAGCTGCTTCATATATCTTCATTCATCAGATTTTATTGCCTTTTGCAATTCCACGAATACAATTTAAATTAATTTGATCAGATCAACAAGCATACAACTAATAAAATTTCAGCAAAATACATCACTACCGCTTCCATTCGCTTGTTTGCTATCCAACAAGCTATTAAAATCAAATTTTGGACGGAATTCACCGAATGAATTAGAATGTGACTGAGGTGGAAGTGAAATGGATGACAGTCCACTGATAATGGTCAATGTGTAACGATAGTACGATTTGACTGAGGTGATTTCCTACAAAAAATTATAATGACATAATTTAGTAAAGCATTAGTATCAAAATTAAATTGCACAACTGTTTCTAGCAAAATTTGTCCGAAAAAAAATTCAAAATGTTTTTGCATTTAGTTTCTAGCATTTTTTTTTTAGCATCACCACAATGTGAATAAGCATAAGTCAAACTAGATTCTCTCCCTTCATAAAATAATCAAAATTATTGTGATGTAATGATAGAATCAAAGTCTTCGTACATTACTTAAGAATTATTCCGATCTTTTCTGAACAGTGGTACCACTAAAAGATTCAAAAGATTTCCAAGGTCGAAACTTTTAAAATTGAACGTTTTTTCTCAAATAATGCCTCAATAACTTCTGCACCATTACTTTAGGTTTAAGGTTTAAGGATAGTTCCTCATCAATCTGTATTGCTTTTCAAGAAACTAAATTGGAAGATATTATTTACTATATTAAAAGTTGATTATTAGAGAAAACTAACTTCATGGAAAAAGTCGGAATTTGATTTTATGAAATAGATAACAATAGTTTTTTATCAGCCATAATATGCTCTAGTTTCTTGTCATTTTTTTCCGATATAAATGAATGGGAAGCAGCTGACAGCTTTTGTTAATTTGCTAAATATGGTGAATAGCAAACCAAATAATGAAATTTCATAAAATATAAAGTGATAATTTTTGCCGTCATTTTCCTATCCGCCATTTGATTTCTCATACCAATCCAGAACATGCTATTCAAAAAAAAAAAAAAAACAGATGAGGTAGTAGGATAAAAAATCCGTTCTAATGATCAAATGTAACGAGAACCAAACTTGCTGGATATTTCAAAATAATACTATGCATGCATTTTCCATGATAGTTTTTCGTATTCCGCACGTTCCAGCGACAAAATTAATTACTTCAATTTAAGCGTTAGTTATTCAACTATGTGCGACTAAAATATCAAGAATACAAAACCTATTAGCAGCACGTTGATTTGCAAACCAATTACAGATTTGCTGATACGTTACTTTAACATTATGCCGCCGATAACTGGAACCATTGAGTACGTTCATATAATTAATCAGTTTCTGCCGGGATGGATTGTGGTCGGTACGAAACCATCGTTCCAACTTTGGTGTTTCCAACAAATGGTTGAACCTTGTGATATATGGACTGCAACGATGTAAATTATTTGGTTACTCCTCTAAGCAGTTAAAGCAACTCCATATCTGATAATTCAAGAATCTATATTGCAGAATAAATTCAAATAATTCTATTGAAGAAAAAATACTCTTTAAGTAATTATTTGAATAAGAAATGTGTGAAGGTAAAGATATCATTAGATAAGATATATAGCATACTATCATTAGATGATTAGATGATCAGTTGCGAATATTTATACTTATGTGTCTAGTTTCTTATATTCCACTTATCAGTCCTATAGCTCTCATAAATTCATTCTTGGCAATCCCATCATTTCCTGTATCAAATTTAAAATTATTTTTGATGAGGGCGATTGAATTCGTAGTTTAAGCGGTCCCTCATTTCTCTAACCCTCATATAACATGAAATATGCAAAGTGGAATGTAGAGAAACGAAAGGTATGTGGAAAGTGAATACTGCCAATATAAACACCGATAGCCACACGACAATGGATAATCTTATTTTGGTAGAAAGCCATTTATGGTGATGACCATAAATTCATCCCCAACTTTAGATCATATACAGTCAGTTCCAGTGCATCACTTGATATGTTAAATTTGATCTCTTGATACAGAAATGCGTGAACAATTAATAGCACATGAAATGGATGAAATTATGACTGATTTTGTCGGCTTTTCTTAGAAGATTATTTTATGTTCGCCTTATCGTTTTATTTATTATTTGTCAACTAATTAGATACCGATTATTATATATATGTTTGTTTGTTGATCGTATATTTTCATCGTTAAAGTTCGCTGATTTGATACAGGTCACTATGATTAATTAGGAAACAAATCTTAATTAAGCTTCGCTGAATTTTTCTTTTATCCTGGACTTCTTGCAAAGTTATGGGAATCGATTTCCATCGAGGAATTGTTTACATGACTGTACCTTTGAACTCTTTTTTCACTTCATCTTTACCCCTTTCTCCTTATAAGGTGCCTTTACTTTTTCTCCTCCCTTTTGATTTCAATGATCCTCTGAAATTTTGTTTGTTTTCTTTTTATGGTGAAATTTAGTGCTGAAAGAAAGTTATTACTGTCGCAGCGCCAAACCCAAAGATAGTTGCTGTTTGTCTCGTCGGGTTGGATCGCTCTCTTTACGATACAATCGCAAATCGCAAAGGCTGATACGCCTCTGCTGCTCACTTCGGTGTTTCCCACTGTTGATCGCTGCTCGAAGCCCACTCCTAACCCTTTACTGCAATGTTAACGATACTGGGTACAGTGAAAGGACGAAGCAACAGCAGTAGATACACAGAGCAAATTGATAAGTTGTGATCAACGCGCTCGCTCCTCAACTGATTATAAATATTGTGCAACTTGGCCTAAAGCAAATGAGAGGAGCAGGTATGGAAAGATGACAATCGCAGCTTGAAGGGACACGATGACTATCACTGTGAAAAGCAGCCAGAAGCAGGAAATTATCCATCCGTTCGCGAATCAGTGGATTTAGTTTTCGAGTGACTCAGAAAAGAATTCAAGTATCACTAATGAATACATGCACCTAATTTATATATTTCACCCCTTTCTCCGTAGCTTTTCAATTTCTAAACTGTAGTGTGCAACAAATTAATTTTCACTAAAACTTGAGCTGCATCTCAAACATATTTCTCTCATGTGCTTATTTACATCTTTAGAAATTCAGATCTCGAATGGCCTCAAATACATTGATAAAGTAATGTGTATGTTCGATTTTTTTTTTTGTAATTGACCATTTTTTATTTTCATAAAGTGAGATTTAATGCTCGTCAGACAGAGTCCCAATTATGTAAACTGGACCGAAAATTTCAATAAATAAAGCAAAAGGTGAAAAAGCAATCGAAGGAAGAAATAAGTCGAACAATTTCATAAGGGAATTGGTTCTTCATCCACTAATCTATTTTTCCTTCCTCCTTAATTTCGCTAATATTATTTTTATATTGCTTTAAGTTTCAAGTTTGTCACCTTCACACATAAACTTCTGACTATTAATTACTTCCATATTATCAATTATAAGCTTCAAGAAGCAAATTTATGACACTTATTACCAAAATCAGTCTGTAGTATCATGAAGGCAGTCAGTATACGGTCGTCTTTTTTTAAGTAAATGAACCAAAAAGGACCAAAAAGCAATCATTTTGTAGGATACTACTCTTTTCACAATCATTCTTCAAATTGCAATGAAATCATATTCCAAAGATGATGTCGCGAATTATAATTTCGCGAAAAACTTCTAACTGTCACGAAATATTTAAATTATTATATCCAAAACTAACAAATTCCTCTTATCTAATTCCTAAATCTAATTTACATTTACAAAATTCATCTCACACCTGATGATTCAATTTCCGAATATTTTTGCATTTGTAATTCAGCTATGACTCATACTAATCTATTTCCTCCTTTCATACAATAAAACTAATCTTGTTAAATAGCGATAAGATGTGATAAAAATAATTAACACCTGCAAAACTGTTTAGGGAAATCATTACATTGTTAACAATCTTGTTTTTTCATCCATAGAAATTCTTCCATCTAATTTCCATTCATTAAATCAGTCTTATATATAAACCAACCAATCCTTCTATAACCATCATTTGCTTTATGTGGTATTAGGATGCGTCTAATACTTTATAATCTCGTATTATTTCACCATTTTTATATTATTGCATTTTATATAGTTTACGTGTTTGTTAATCGGTGTAGCATCCGTACGATATGTATAAAGCGCTATTATTTGCCTCATGTTAAATAAAGGTTTAATTACCCAAGTTTGAGGTTTATTAATCTTCCTACTGTATTGCAACAATTCGAATATCAACCAACAGACAACCTTTCACGACAGATGAAATATGAAGTGATGATAGGAAAAACTAAGTGATTGCTTATGCTTATATAGTTAACAACAGAAATACTGTCATTCCCTAGCCTTTCAAATTTGTTCAAGCAATTCGATTATTTCCGTATTTGATCGGGAACGAGGAGGAAGGAAATGCTGCTGAGAGATGACTGGTGGGCTTGCGATGACGGTGAATGTGATGCATAAATTTGTGCATTCTCTCTATGGATGATGAGGAATGACTGTGAAGATGGAAGGGAATAATGTATGAGAATAGAAGTTTGTAAAAAGCTTGCAGAGCTACTAATTCACCAACAATTCCACATGCATCCAAATCAGTGAATAAAAAAGCATTTACTCATCTTCTCTCTATATGAAAAGGAAGATGGAATTCTTGATATACACCTGCATATCATATGACACAAATTTTATACTAAACAATAGCGGTTGTCGGTATTCCGGAAGGAGATTCATCATTTCTTTTCATCATTTTCCACTTTGCAGCTTATTGAGATGAATAGTTGCACGAAGATTAGATTCCTACCCTTCTCTAATCAGCTAAGTACATAACAAATCTATTTCTATCTTAATCTCCTGCTCTCTCATCAACTAAACTTCAGCTCATACAAAGCTAGTCAGCCAGTAAGGAAGCAACTTTAATCTAAATATGACCAAATTTAAGTCTTAAATACATACTGTACAAATGAAGGTTCTTTAAACTAGAAGAGCGAACTAGAATCAAATCCTCGCAAATTTCCACTCTCACTTCTCTCTCTCATTCTTCTCCATCTTTCTTGCCAACTTTTATGACAAGAATGCATTGTAGAGTTAAAAAACTACGAAATGAATGCTCCTGACCCAATACATTTACAAAACTAGGAAAAAAAAAAAAATAATAAAAATGGCGAGAATTAGTAGAATGAAAGGAAAATATTGTGATTCATAGAAAAGTGTCGGAGAATGCGCTTTTCAGAATTCTTTTATATAAATCCGTATTTTAACCGCTGGTTGGTCCTATTTTCCCATTACTTTTCTAATACATATTGCACCCTTATTAGCTTTAGAAAAGGCATGAATCATTCTCGTTAAATTATCCAGAAATTATCATATATGAGCGGTTAATCAGTTGCATTGAGATTTGTGAAGATCTATGGTTAATTTAAACATATATTGTTTGTATTGTTTGTTTACTTATATATTCATTTATATGTATGATTTTTCGTTGGAGCTAAATCTGTCTAGTTTCTGTCTAATTCAAAGTGAACCTTAGCGAGAATGTTAGGACCGAAAGCTATAGATAAATAAAAAAAAATGGAAATGTCTAATGATATTGAAAAATAGCTGCAAATTTATTCTTCAAAATAATTGATGCATTTTTTGCACTGCTTAGAATAAGTCATTTTCTTATCAAGATATGACCAGGAATAGATAAGATAAAGAATGAGGATTTCTCCACTCTGCAAAGGACAAGTAGGCATATCTCGAAAACCTCTCTTCTATAAAAACGTTGAAATTTTGTGAATTATTTTCATCAAGAATAAACTTTTTCATACTAAAATCAATGAAATCAGTTCTTCCGGATTGCTGTACAAGTGGCGCCTTTAATAGGAGAATATTCAAGAATAAGTATAAAAATGTATTACTGTTAAGTGTTTCAACTTCTCAATGAGTATACCCACAAAAATTTCCCAAAATCCTCTAATATGAAATGGTAAAATCTTTCTAGGTAAAAACACTCCAACCGACAAAAAGATATTGTTCTCATCAAAGATTGAATCCTATCACTCAAAGAGATCAAACTTCTGCTAAAAAAAATATCATTTGGATTTGGGTCAACACACTTTAAGGGCCTCAAACAGGGAGGCAGTCTAATCAATAAAGAACATATTTGGAGTTACACGACAAAATGTAACCGTTTTCTTTCGACATGATTATTATCTAGTTTATCTAGTTGTTCCAACAATTCATTAATTGTCGGAATTTGATCAAAGCTGAGCATTGATGGTTCATCACCGGTTACTATTTGCAATATCAGGGATTAAACTTATCTGATGGTAAGCAGTAAGCAAGACTATAAAAGCAGGGACTAAAGCTATCACCAATTAATCCCAAGCAAAATAAATAATGCAGCACTTCATCGATAAGAACAATGATTTCCAAATAAAATTTTCGAACATTTGGATTACCAAGGGTAAGTAACTTCTCATGTGTCAAAAAAAAAAATCAGTCAAAATAATAAGACATTTCTGTATATGCAAATCAACATAATAAAATACTTCTGTATTGCAAAAAAAAATTTATGCGAATTAACCCTATGTGTAAATTTTTTTTTGTGTAAATTTTATCTCTTTCTTTGAGTTGCTTTTGTTCTGTTATGAAACAAAGAAAAAGTACCACATAGTTTTTAACAGTAAATATTGAATTGAAATGTAGATCGATATAATTATTCATTGAGATTTTTAAAGTCTCAACCTTGTAAACTACGTGCAACTTTAAGAAGCAACACATAAAGACATGAACAAATTGAGAACTACTCATTCACTCATTCATTTACTTTCAATACATTAATGCATTATCACTAATGAAATATGGAGTTTCGGGAAAATCCAAACAATTAAGAGTTCCCAGATTTTCAAGCAATTCCTCCATACTTAAGCAGTAAACGGCAAAAATGTATTGAAAATGAATGGAATGAATGGAATGAATGGAATGAATGGAATGAATGGAATGAATGGAATGAATGGAATGAATGGAATGAATGGAATGAATGGAATGAATGGAATGAATGGAATGAATGGAATGAATGGAATGAATGGAATGAATGGAATGAATGGAATGAATGGAATGAATGGAATGAATGGAATGAATGGAATGAATGGAATGAATGGAATGAATGGAATGAATGGAATGAATGGAATGAATGGAATGAATGGAATGAATGGAATGAATGGAATGAATGGAATGAATGGAATGAATGGAATGAATGGAATGAATGGAATGAATGGAATGAATGGAATGAATGGAATGAATGGAATGAATGGAATGAATGGAATGAATGGAATGAATGGAATGAATGGAATGAATGGAATGAATGGAATGAATGGAATGAATGGAATGAATGGAATGAATGGAATGAATGGAATGAATGGAATGAATGGAATGAATGGAATGAATGGAATGAATGGAATGAATGGAATGAATGGAATGAATGGAATGAATGGAATGAATGGAATGAATGGAATGAATGGAATGAATGGAATGAATGGAATGAATGGAATGAATGGAATGAATGGAATGAATGGAATGAATGGTTGGATGAATGAATGAATGAATGAGTGAGAATAAATGAATGAATGAGAATGAATTAATCACGATCCATGAATTGTGATTAACGTCTGAGTATCATACTTACATGAATTAAGAGTATGAATGAAAATGCAAAAGTTTCCAAACAGAGAAGGAACGAGAAGAAACAGTTCCTTCCAAATATTGCTGTGTTATCTCTTTATCGGTGTTTGTCTGAAAAAAAGAAATGATCAATTTATTTTGTAATATTTCCTAAAATTCATCCCTAAGAGTAAAGCTTTTCACCAATTAAGTAAAACTCTATGTATGTAAAATCAAATAGACCAAGTATGTTCCCCTTCTCCCATTTGTAATTTTGCATCATGCATGCAAGAGTATTTTCATTTTTATCACATTTACCATCTTTCAACTTAAACCACTGTTTTTCGTTGCCTTAATTTTTATTTTTCTTCTTTTTCAAAATGTAAATTTTTAAAATAGATTTTATAACATGCTGTAAGCATAAAGAAAGCAAAAAGAACGAATACAAAAAGCTATAGGTAATCAGTTCTCTTAGTCATCCATCGAAATACTCTTTAGTGTGTTGAATAAAACCACAAGGATAAACAGGGTGATAAAATGATGATTATGCTTAAGGTGATGAGTGATAGGATAAACATAGCACATCCATGAAATAACCATCGTCATCATAATAGTCATGATTATAGCAACAAGGGCTACTAAAATTTGTCCACCGGCGCAATAATACCGATTACTGAACCTGCAACTAACAAAGCAGGAGCAGCACTTAGTAAAATAGCCAATGTTCCAGTATCGATTTTGTCAGAAATTCCATCCAAAGGTGCATCTAGATAAAAAAGATTCTACAATCAAGCTTATTTCAGTGTGCGAAATAACTCTAATTTGTTGTATCATTTTTGTAATCCTTTGCTTTGTAATCCATCACAGCATTAATCTTTTGCTTTACAAAAAAAAGAAATCTAGTACTTGAATCATTTCATTACTGGGTAAAAAAAAATAAAAAAAAAAAAGCGCTCTTTCATTATAACTATTTAACTGTAAGATACTGAGAAAAATTTGTGGTTTTTATTATCGCGAAGCACTAAATGTTAATAATGCTTAATATAGCAATCTATTAATTTTTTTACAATTCATCGTAGGCGTTTAACTGACCTTTAATCTTATATCAATTTACATACTATGATCATCTATCATGTAATGTCTACTGCAACCCATTATAGTAGCCACCCATCATAATGTCTAGACAACCCATTGTACTTTCCTTTGTGATATTCATTGTAACTTTTTGTTGAAATAACTTATTATCATGTCTAGACAATTTATCCTTTGTACAAAAATGTTTGATTATAAACCACTCTAACATTTTAACACATATAATGTAAGATATAATTGCTGTAGAAAGGTCACTCTTGTTAAAAGATTTAGTGTGTGTAATTTGTTACCAAAAACCAGTTGAGTTCAATTTCAACTGTTCTCTATCAAGTATTACCCTATTACTTCTAATAAAGACATTGGTTTATTTTTTTGTTACCCCACATATTTACACCTACATCTCCCTCGAACAAAATCTACTTTCAAAATTAATAATTAAATGATCAAATCTTCCATGACAAAAATTTGCTTCAGCGACAAAGACCTCTTACTCAAAAAAGATCATTTAGAAGCATTACTGTCAAAAATAGTGATAAATAATCTTGTGATCACTGCATTTAATGCCAATCCAAAAGCTGACGCAAATGCATACATACTGGATAACAAGCCTGTAACAGTGATACAAGCGTGTTTAGTTCGTGTAGGATAATCTTTCATTTTCGAAAAAAAAAAGAAATTAAGATTGAAGTTTCACTAAAAATTTTTTTGAAATTCTTATATTCAACGAAGAGGTGTATTGAAATTTGAAATGAGATTATATAATTATTTCCTACTTAATTTATGTTCTGATCACGTTTCTTTTCTTCGATTCCGTTAACAGTAGAATCAGTAGAATTGGTCGAGCTGACTGTTGTTGTTTCTTTCCCTTTCCTTCTTGATCCTTGAATTGTCTTGAGTATTATAACTGTCGTTTTGCTTGTACATCGTCGTTTATTGCCAGAATATTGTGCTTACTGTTGAATTTCTTTGTCGTTTTCGTAATTCACGTCGTTTAATACTCAATTTGAGTGAGTAAATTTCCATTGTTGTCGTCGATTGTTTTTCACACTTCAAACTTGGATAATTAAACCTCCGTTATTGTCCTAAGAACGAATCTTTCTTACCTGTCTTCCTAACCTTTTTCATCTAACTCGACCTAAGCCCGCCTTAACACCACTCGTCGATACATTTAATCGAGAAATTCTTCTGCTTATATCTTTTTTTGTTCAGGTTTTTTTTTTTGTTTTTTTTTTTTTATCCAACAATGAGATAATAGACGTACAAAGGAAACGATGTTGGTTTTTTTTATCCACATCGTTTCCTTTGTACTCTATTATCTCATTGTTCTTTTCCTTTCGTTTTGTTGCTTGTTAAGATGACTCTTTTGTTAGCAACCTTCTTTGTTTTTTATTAACTATAAGATTCTATATACACTATAAACAATCCCTCTCTTTATTCTTTAGTACCTTCGGCCTATTTGCCGACATTCCGGATCTGGGATGGTGAGGTGACTTCTCGTTCTGGATGATATCTCGTGTTTTTATATCATGTTCATCTTTCGTGCTTCCTTCTCTCTTAGGACATTCGTTTTCATCTTTTTTAGACATTTCCGTTTCATTCGTGTCTTGCAGTTTCAGAGGGTATATAAGTTTATGGGTCGTATAACTGTATTTCCGTTTGGAAGTTTTATTCAACAGCTCTTATTTTTCTGTCTCTTTCCCTTTTTAAGCTTGTTATTTTTGCTAGTTTCCAAATTCCTCGTGGAATTCCTAGTTCATCTAATAATACATCTTCGTTTATCCGTGGTGTGGTTCTGGCTGTACATTTTGGGTTTAATACACCTTCTATTACCATTATTAAGGTTTCCAGGTCTCTTTCTTGTAGTAATTTTCTTCCTACCGCTCTTCCAAAGGCTCTGTTTGTTAAGCTTACTAACGTTAAACCAGCGCTAAAAAAAAAAAAACCACACCATGGAGCTCGGGGCGTAATGCTCTTCCAATGAATTCCTTTCTTTGCTAAAAATTCTTGATTTTTGCATATTCTTGAGTTATTACACTGAATACGGTTTGAAATTGAAGTGCGTTGTCACTGATAATTTGGTGTGGATAACTTCGTCTACTGATAAACCTTCCAACAATGTGCATAAATGTTTCGGCTGATAGATGGTTGGCAATCTCCAAATGAACAGCTCTCATCGTAAAGCAAGAAACAACGCGATCCATTTTTTAATTGTACTTGTATTTGATTTTACTAAAATCGGTCCGAGATAATCTATTCCAATGTTTTCGGAAGTTCTTAATCTTTTCACTCGCGTTTCTGGTAAATTTGGTATTGTCGGCAGTATAAAAGGTTTTGCTTACCATCGTTTACATAGGTAAAATTGTTTAAAATTCGTTTTACTTCGGATTTGCCTCTTGGGATCTAATAACTTTACCTGATTTCCGGTAGCATATGTACTACTCCGGCGTGAAATAGTGACTCATGTTTAATAAGTTGTGTAATAACGTTGTGTCTTGGTAAGTAAAGTGGATGTTTCGTTTTTTCAGGCAAAGATGAATTTTCGAGTCGACTAGCTGATCTCTATAATTTTCGAGTCGACTAACTGAATAATAGAGGCTTAACTTTAGTTCCATCTCTTCGTCAAAATTTTCATTTTGAGCCTGCTTTATTAAAATCTGTTCAGCCAGTTTACAATCATAAATTGTTATAGGGTTGCCAACATCCGGCAATAGTTCAATCTATTTGAATCTATTTTTTGTGATTCGTTTAATGAATCTTAGTGATAATTGTTCTTACTAATCGCATCCATTTGCTAAAGCGATTGATATTAATTATTTGAAAGAAATTGTCGCCGTTTTGGTTTGTAATTGCTTCCATACTTCACAAAGATCTGGAAGTGTAGATGGTTCACGCTATAATACGTCGTTTAAACTTTTGTAATTTTTTCAAATGGGCCGAAGCGTCGTATACCACTCTAAGTTTTGTTGTTTCTTTGTTAAATGTAAGAATAATGTATTCTTTTATTTGTTTCTTTGTTACGTATATATTCTTCATATCATTAAAAATAATGTATTATACCTTCTTAATCCATTTCTGGGGTAACTTCTTCGATATTATCACACGCTAATTGTTTTCAAATACTGTTATCGTAGCTTTGAAGTAACTTTGGTTCGTCTCGTAATCTTGCTATAAGTGACCTAAATCTTCTTAAACATAACCCATAATGACTTTTAAAATTTATTTTTGTTTCTTTCCACGGCCAACTAACTTCATATCACCCATTATGTTTACTGATGCTTCTTTTAAATTGAGATAAACGCTTTATCGTCGTCTGTTGCTTTTGGCTCTTCTTTCACACCAATAAGTTCCAATTTCCAAAACTGATCGATATCTGATACATTCCGGCTAATAGTTGTTCAAATAATTGCCGTTTCCACTTGCGTTATATTTTGCTTTACTTTTAGTGATAAGATTAGATGATAATTCTTAAGAATTTTTATCGGAAAAATTTAAATATAATCAATGGGAGAGTGAATTAATGAGGAAGGAAATAAATATATGCTTGATTTCTAGTGAATTGCTAATGATGAACATTTTAATTTATTTTTATCATAAATCTGCTCCAACTCATTTTAATGATAAGTCAAGTAACAATGCCAATTCAATACTATATAATCAGACAGTAATATAAATTAATTATTAATGAAATCGAATTCAATTTAAATTAATTAAGATAATATAATTATTTATCGTCGACAATCTATTAAATTTTATTTATTAATGTTACTCTGTTATCATTAAATGCTTGTTTTATCTAATCATTACAATCTTAATATTTTTGTCAATATTAGATCAAATGATAATATCAGTTCAACAACATTTAATCAGATGGTAATATAAATTAAAATATCAAATTATGTAGGCGTTTAATAGCAATTTATTTAAAGCTATTTAAGATTAAGACAAATAAATTTATGAAAGGATTTCACATGCTTTAATAACATTTTGATTCCCATTGTCGTTTAGTTTGTTTCGTATGAAACTTCTTGTCACTTACTTAGGCAGAATGCAGTCGACGTGTAAATGTAGGTGAAGGTTTTGCCAGATTTTTAGTTGATATCCCTTGAGTTGGAACTGAAATCGTTTTCAATTCTTATAATCAAGCATTTTGACTAATGATAACATTTTAATTTATTTTTGTCATAAATCTGCTCCAACTCATTTTAATGATAAGTCAAGTGGCAATGTCAATTCAATACTATATGACTAAAATTAAATAATTTCATTCTAGATTTACTTCTTTCAATTTCTTTTAGTTTCAGTAAAACATACTTTTGAACAAAATTAAAATAAATGAAGAAGAAAATGGAAAAAAGTTTGTGACTGACGAAAAAGCTAGAGGAACAAGTAATGCGACAAAATAAGTTGTTTTAATGAAAGGAAAGGTTGAGGTTTTGGCATATTTCATATAGGTAAAAATTTTTTCCGACTTCAACTTATAAATTTTTGTGGAAAATCTGATGTTTTTTTTCTTTATAAAATTTTAGAGATAATGGAGTAAGAAACGATTAATCAATCAGTTGTCAAAATTTGCTTATTCGGTAAATCGTTTTCGGGAAAAACATGAATAAAACAAAAAAGTGTTTATTTTGCTGTTAATCGAGTTCAATGATTTTTTTTTGCTCAATTTCTTTCTCACGATAAAATAAGTGCAATCATTACAAAACATTTAGAAAAAGTTTGGAAAAAAAATTTAGAAAAAACGGAAGAAAAATTAGCAATTCAGAGAAAACATTAGCTTCTTCATTTTGTTCACGAATGATTTATGTCTCTTCTCATCCATCTTAATTACAATTTACCACAACTAGCAATGGTTATTAAAACAAATGAATTTAGAAATGACAATAAGTCTTTTATACCATTCATGTTTTTAATATTTATATTCGTAAAATTTAAATCTTGCACTTCATAAATTAGTATTTTTGAAATTCTTGTCCAAAAAAATTTAAATATTTTTAATTTATCAGTTATTAATTTATCAGTCCATTGCAACTTTATTACAAAAGTGAGCAATATTGCACCGAAATATTGAATTGACAAAAATAATTGTTTATAAATAGCTTGTAAAAATTCATACGAAATTGAGGAGCAAAAGAATGGAAAAGAATAAATAAAATTTGAAATTCAAATTGAAAACTACTTCCATAAGGATACGAGCGTTATTATTCTGATGGTTTGATGGAAAAAAATCAGATGGCTGAATGCATTAAAAATGTTAGAAAATGAAAATTTTGAATTAATTAGTAAATTAAAATGATTAAATTAATTTAATTAAAATTTTATCAAAGAACTGAAAGACTTTCAGATATAATCATTATGTATTTTTTTATTCTTTATTGTTTCAAGACTTAACAATAAAACGACTCAGCTCTATCCTCAATCATATCATTCCCATATTTTTTTCCTAAATATAAACAAAGAAAAAACTTCAAGTGAGGAAGAATTGCTTGTTTTCATTCTTCCCACCGATAAAAAATGAAAATACTGATTGAAATGAAATGATGAGCGGTCGTTTCAATCTTAAACTGTCATTTGTTTTATTGTTGACACTGCACAATTTAGCATCTATTGAACATAGAGAAGAAAAAGCTTTTTTAAGCGATTTTAATCAAACATTACTTAAAAAGTACGCGAGGTATGCATGCATGTTTTCATGCAATTTATTAAATGTTTTTATTAATTAACACTGAAATTTCAATATTTTTTAAATTTTAAGTGAGATAAAATCTATGAGAAAATATGTGCGCCTCTATTATATGAATATACTTGGTCAGCTTGCATTTTATTCTCGAATTTATCGAATGTGGATTGAACAGCCATCCACTATGCATAGTAATTTTATATATTCTTTTCCACAGATTAATTTTTCTAATGATCTTCGTGAAGTATGCATTCAAGGGTTTAAGGTTAGTAATTGATTTTAGTTTTCAAATGAAATAGTTATAAATTACAAATTAGTGTGCTTTATTTACTGGTTACTTCTGACAATATTCTGAGCCGTTCTTGCTCTGTGTTCGTTGAGAAATTAAGAAAATTTGTTATTTAAGCATGTGTCGAAATTATTATTTTTCTAAAATCTTTAAATTCAAAATTGATGAAGGTTTATCATGACATAAATATTGTTTCGTCCGATTAACACTTTGTTTATCTTTCTCAAACATTCTTTTAACACCACTAATTTGGCATAGTCATGAAAGTGTTGAAAATTGATCGTTGACTTATCACGTGGAATGCTATGATTTTGATTTCAACTGATAAAGATCATAATTTAAAATATAATAGTTCGGAAATGCAATTGGAAATATTAAAAAGTTATTTAGAAATGGGCGAAATTTAACAGACTATTTTTATATCAAGTCTGAGTACTTGATTTAGTTGGAGCAACTGATGATTAAATAATAATATAATTCGAAACTAAATAAAATGATATTTATTTCAGTTATGCATTGATAGTATCTGGAATGATATTAAAAAGCGCAATGTATTTCTTTTTACATCCGTTATTTATGATGAATTTATTATAAGGTCTATTACTACTGTTTCATATTTTTTGTTAGGGAAAATTCAAACTCATTTAACCATTGCAAGATTGTTAAATAATTTGTTTTAATTAAATATGTATTTTCTATTTATCCTCTTAAATTTTAAATTTACATCTCAAAATAACCAATTTTTGTTTCCAATTCTAAATTCTTATTTACCATTACATAGTATTGCTATAATTAGAGTGTTGTAATTAAGGAAGAGTGAAATTCGTCGATTAGTTCACCATGAAATGTTTGACTATGATTTTTCTGCTATTTATTTGTTGTGCTGGATGACAATGAATAGTATTAGCATTCTGGAAAAACTACCATATTGCAACATTCAACCAATTGTTACATCCGTTTCAGTAATTGTCAAAACATTTTATCATAATTATCACTACTAACAAGACATTTATCAACGAAAAAATAAGAAAATGATTAAATTATTTGAATTTATTATCTGATTTCTAATCATCGTATTTCTTTTCAAACTGTAATTATGAATTTTTCGATTTAAATTTTCCGTTTATAGCTTCTGTAATATTTAAGCTAATAATTCATAGTATTTACAAAGAAAACTGATAAATAAATTGGATTGCAACGTTATCATTTACAATGCTAATTCTTATTTTGAAATAAGAAATCTATATATATACTGTTTGCTTGCTAAAATTTTTATGCTTTTCTAAACTGAAACTATTTTTTTAACAGGACGAAATTACGGAAAATGAAGGAGCGAATGAAAAAGAGTATATTGTAAGTTCAAAGTTTTTAAATTGACTATTTAAATTATTTAAAAAATTTGTTTTAATTTATTACAATTTCAATTTTCTTAACTTTATTTAAATTATTTTAAAAAAATATTCGAATCTTTTTTATTATAAAGCAGAATATTTCGTTTTTTACAAGTAAATAGAAGTTGTAACTATAGTGGCCTAGTCGAGCGTTAGCCAGAAATTTAACATTCAATCAAATTACGCATATAACATTAGGATCTTTTGATATGGAACCTTTCCGATGCGCAAAATCAAGGTAAAACTTTATTTTATCCGATCATTCTTTTGTCTCATTTAATTATTCTTATTGTTATACTTATATATATGTAGCGTAATAATTTCACTACTGAATGAATTGCATTAACTTTTAGTTTTTGTGTAAATGGTTGTAATCTGTCACCATGCCCAGAAAATGGTACATGTGTATTGAAATCAAATTATAATGAAGATCTTGTCGGAATATATTGGAATTTATGGAATGTCTCACGTGATTGTATCGAACCGGGATATATATTTCGGTAAGTGAATAACACTCCCTTTTTTATTTATGGAAAATACAATGATGTCATTTCAATTTGCTTATTTGTTTACACCATTATTTAAATTTCGCACTATCTTAGTTGTTATTCTGAAAATTATTCAAAATGGAATTGATTTTGTTCTTTTTTTTTTGGTATTCAAGAGTTTAATTATATATAATTATTTGCAAAATTAATTGTTTTAACTTTTTTTTTATAGATTTGATGTGAATAAATGTGTGGATATTAATGAATGCTTGTATATTAATTGCGAACAAACACATGGTGGTAAGTTTTCCCAATTTAATTTTTTCTTTTTTAATTGAATTTTTAAATTCATTTCATGAAAAATAACAAAATGTTATTATTCAAATGTTGTCAACAGTGATAGTAATTACCATTGATAGTTACTATCATTTAATGATATCACTAATATAATTTTTTTCAGAAAATTGGGAATGCGTTAATTTGAAAGGTTCTTATAGTTGTGTATGTAAATTAGGATTTAATCCTGCAAATAATGGTTGCCTACCCATACAAATTTATCATGGTTTATCATGGAAAGGACCAGCGTTTGCTGGAGTCGAAAAATTTTCATCGAAAAAAACAGTTCTAATTGTTTGCTTATTGTTAACTGCATGGTAAATTATTTGTTTGCATTATATAAAAACATTTATAATTTTATTAGCAGTAACATCATAGATAATTGTTTAATATTGTAAAAATGTTTTATTTTTTTTAATAAAACAAATTATTGCAAATGCTTTCTAACTGCTTGCAATTTGCAATGATATCACTTATAAGATATAGTTACACTAAGACATTAGCAAATGATGCAGGAAGATAATTTATTCAATTGTATAAATTCCAATTTCATTTCATTCCAATTAGTTATAATTTTATTATTGCCTGATTAACGTATTAAAAATTAATTTAGAAAAAAGAAAATTAATTGATACAAATTATTTTTCTAATATGAATAAAATTTACAGAAGAAAAAGGAGAATCTGCAATGGAAAATGCTTAAAAGCACCATTAACTGATATGTAATTTCTAATCTTTAATTAATCCATTTAGTATTATTTTTATCATCTCGAAAAAGGCAAATTATAATTAGAAGTATTATTACATAGAGATATAATAATCATGTTTAATGTCGCAGTTGTTCTCATCATTTAATTGCATTATCATATGCTTCACAAATTTAAACAAATTCATTTTATAATATTGTTATCATATTCTTACTAAGCTAACATTAGATATGTGCAAGGCACAAAACAATGGATAATGAAATAGTAAGTTTCAGAAATGCTTCTGTTTTTCAATTTTTTAGTGATAAAATGGCATATAATATGTTTACATAGTATGGCATGTGGTATGAGAATGAATATTAAATTGAAGTCCTTACCAGCGCAATACTTCCAAAGCTTGGACTAGGCTTAGAAACTATTGTCTTTTTAATTAGTTCTTCTTGTCTTTATGAAATTTCACACGATGGTGCACCATTTAATCTACAGTATTGTTTATACTTTACTTCTTACCATTCTCACTATGAATAAAATTCTGGAAAACTCTAATTAATTACTATTATTTGGAAATTTTTGCACTATTTAAATAACAATGATATCATTGCCGTCTGATATTAGTTCAACATGCTAATATTATCAAATAATTTATTTAGTAAGATTAATTTTTCTTATTACTTATTACAGTAAATTGATTGTTAAGAAACAATGATCCATCTTTTCTTCTTTTACAAATTTCCCAACAAAACCTGTAAAGTCTTATATATTTATAGCATGTCGTAAAAATACATTTAATTTAAATTACATGTATTTAATATTACATACATACATAGATTACATACGTAAAAATATATTTAAATTACATTCAAATTCTAATACCTTTTGCCAGATGCCTGATAAATCAATCACCAAATAATTTCGCATTTGTAACTAATCTATGTCTAGATCATTCAAGCCATTATGCTAATTCCCTTTTCTCACCCAACAAAAACCCTTTGTTAGCAAACCCCTTTATCAGCAATCTTTGTTTCACATCAGCCAAATGTTCTCTGTCGGATATCTGGTGTCAGTTCAGTTTTGTGTATAAACCAATCCTCCATTACAGTTATTCATTCTACATTTTGGAGTGGTTTTTGATATTATTTTGGTGTTCCATAATTATATTATATCTTTCGTTACGCATAATATTGATTTGTTGGTTTAATTACCCAGGTTTGAGGCAAAACAAAGTATCTGGCAGTCAATATATTCCATGATATAGCATATGTTTTTCAATAATAATATCGCCAATTTCAATATTTCGTCATATTTCATCCATATAGCAACTTAAATTAAAAGTAAAAATTCCAAGCAAAATTTTTAATACAAATATAAACCCCGTATCAGAAAATTTTCTAAACATGGAATAATTTCATCAATTTAATTTAATTTCACAAAGATTTTATTCAAAGTTTTTTTACACAAAACCTTTTTGTTTTTTTTTTTTAACTAAAAGGTAAAATTTTACCAATAATAATAATTCATAATGTAAATGATTTCGTGCGAAATTTTTGCTTCTTTATGTTTATTGACATATTTCACACAACCAATTGCTTCAAAATTACGCCATAAATTAAATCTAAAACTCTGGATTAATTAAAAATAACAAAATAAGAAGCTTATTTATTTTACAAGTTCTCACTTTTGTTTTTTCTAAGTCTTTCAAATTTTAATGACTAATAAATTAAGTCAGTGGAATATTCAATACCTATTTATAGTACTTTATGATTTTTTTTCTCATCTTAAAGTTTAAAAAAAAAAAAATTTATGATATCGTTCGTTTCAAATATTGTACGTGATTTCGTATCTATTACTTTCTTACAATATAATAACATATTATTATGTATTACTGAATATATTAGTTATTTGTATATGTATATCAAAAGATGCTTTCAAAGATTTTTCGAAAAATTTTTTTTTAAACTTTAAGATTCTGTATCTACAAGTGTGTAACAACATATCTTACTAATTAAATGAATATTTCATGTAATGTATATTAAATTAAAATTAAATAAACTTTTGGTATTCACTAATCATTTTATAACCATTTTTGGTGCATATCATCAATAAAAAACTTGGATCGATCTGCAATAATAAATTAACCAGTACTAATCAATTAAATAATTTCAAAAAAAATTTTTTTTAATGATTTCTTTAATATTTCAGAATGAATAGTGCAAATTTTGAAGAAATATGGTGAAGCACTGCAAGGAAAATGATATTTGTTGAAGCAGTAAAAAAATGAAAAAATAAGAACGAATAGCATAATAACAAATTAAATCAAATAGCAAAATTAAACGTTGATTAAAAAATAAATTAAATAGTAAAATTAAATATTCATTGATAATTAATTATTTAAATATGATTCCTTCTGTGTAAGTTACTGTTTCATTATTTGCATGGTGAATACATTTATGTCAAAATTCATTCTTAGTCAGTGTTTCACTAAATTTTATTATTCCTTTGAAAATCCATTCAGAACCGACACAAGCTTTAAAATGTACAAAATAAATATACTGTTGTTTTCAGTGAACATGAAAGTAAACAAATGGTTTCATGTTAAACTCAGAGGTTAAGCATTTATAATGATATTTCATGTAGCAATTTGATTGTTTGATTATTATCATAAATTATGAGTAGATATGCTATTTTTAATTGATGCTATTTGAACTGCACAAAACATTTCATTGATAGTAGAATGAAGCTATGATATATTTTCTAGTTTTTAAACAAGTCTTGACTATCCTTTGAAATATTTTTTCTATTGTTAGTGTAATTATTAACTTTCTTTCTAAATTATGCTATTTGTGATCGATACTATTTACATCATTAAGTTTTATATTATTGCTATAAGCCACTGTGCTATAATAATTGGTCGTTGTGTTTTTCCTGTGATAAATTGATAAATGATAATAATCGTAGTTTAGATTTATTCTTATGATAATCAAAGTGGACAAAATAATCACTGAAATATTCTTATCAACAAAATGTTAATTGTAACTTTGCCGCTGAAAAAAGCTATCATTTCTATTTTGCAATACATTTTTACATTTAAATTAATAATAAAATTTTTCTGATAAAATATACTGTAACACACTTGGAGATACAAATATTTTTCTAGGGATTTTTTTACTTTTATCAATAAAAATCAATAAAAGTGAAAAAAGGTGGAATATTTAAACAAATTTATGGATAGTGGAAAGAAGTAATTGCTATCATTCCTCCCAAATTGCTTTAATGTAACATGGTGACAACAATTTGTTTTTCTCTTTATGAGTAAAACAAGTTTTTAACACTTCTTAATTTATCAAAAAAGGACAGATAAAGCTTTAATGGTCTAAGAAAGAGTATAATATTTTAAGATATGAGAAAAATTGAATTTGTGGATGAAAAATATGGAAAGCTGTGCGGCTAAATAATTTATTCTGAAGTATTATGTTTTACTAAACGACTGGAAAGTGGAAAGTTCTGCTAGCATGTTGTTTTCCCTTTCTTAATATTGCTTACTGAGATTGTATAAATTAAAATAGCGAAAATTTAAAGGGTGAAATTTGATCTAAAAAGAGGAAAAAGGAAATTTTGGAAATTTCACTTATTAATTTAGTTAGGGGAAAACAATTGTGCTTTTCTCTTGTATTACAATTTTTATGTTAATTTCTGAACAGAAATTCAAGTTTTAATTTGCTAATTTAAAGTTTGGAGCTTTATAATGACAATTAAAAAACAAATTTAACGTTTGGTTTTATCTTAGGTATCGATCTATGTAAAAAATAGGAACTCAAATGTTGATAAAAACTGAAATTGTAGAAAGTGATGCAATCCAGTTTTATCACAACCATAAATCTTCATTTTACCTTCAGTTTCTGATTTTAATTTGAACTTAATTCGATTTTTCCCAATTAAAAACGGATTCAATTTTCAATTCTCACTCAATAATGCTTTAACTAGATGGTATTTTTGAAATAATCTTATGACACGCATAGATGACAGTTACAACTTTCAACAAAGGGGCAGCCACCAGAATGTACAAGTGGTGATGCACATCGTTTAACTTCCAAGTCAACGAAAATTCTTTGCATAAAAAATAAATTCATAAAAAATTTCCAAGTTATTTCTACTTGCAAACACAGCGAAAAATAGGAATGCGAATGCGCACTTTTCCCACTTGAAAATGTCCACTTTTGCAATGTTTTCTAATCAATTACTTCTTGCTATTAGCATTTTGTAGCAGATATTGCTCGATTGCTCGTTTAAAAGGCTTCTCTACATATTAATCCCAAATAAGAATGAATGACAATTTGGAAGCTCAAATCAAATTTACAAGAAATTCGTTTTTCACTGTCATAATTGAAATCCGAATTGTTGAATTTATGCAGATTTCGGACTATTTAAAAAAAAAAAAAAACCCTTTTTGGATCATTCTAATGACAGAAACGATAAAATTAAAATAAGAAATTGAAAAAAAACTTCGAAAAAGTTTAATGAGAGTATCATTTATCAGCGTTTGGTTCTTTATCACTTTTGTCACTTTTGTAATATTTAAGATTTAAGACTAAGAGCAATTTTTTATAGAATTGAGTG